TCCAATAGAGATTTAAGCCCTAAGCCTTAAGAAATTGACTAATCACAGTCGCGCATTCTTCTCATACTTGACCGTGATTGGCCAATTTCTTAAAGCTTAGGGCTTAAATCATCTATTGTAGACTGGGACTTAAGGCTTACTACACCTATTGTAGACCCGGCCTAAAGCTTAGGGCTTAAATCATCTATTGTAGACTGGGACTTATAGAAACAGGCAATCAGAGCTTTGCCGTATCAACGAGTGACGGAAATGTCTGGCTCTGATTGGTTGCTTCTATGACGCACGTTCTATTCCGCAGCTCTATTCTGCACCATGTGATTTCAGCCTTAGTCCCAGTCTACAATAGAGATTTAAATCCTAAAGCGGGGAGCACATACTTTTACATAAGTGCATAAACATATGCATATATGCATATATATAACGAATTTGATTGGTCCATTTCCTTATGCACTTGCTTATAGACCAATCATATTTGTTATGCATATGCTTATGCACTTATGCAAAAGTGTGTGCTCCCCGCTTAAAGCCTACAGCACACGAAAATTCTGCATCCTGATTGGCTCTCGTAAGCAATCCAGTAGGAAAAATAGTATCGTGTGCCGTTGGTTTGAGCCTTGAGAAATTGACTAATCACAGCCGCGTATCCTACTCATACTTGACCGTGATTGGCACAAGCTCGTTTCCAACCGCAAGTCGTAATGAAATCTGATTGGCGCGCGCCGTCAGGCTCGACGAATCACCCGACTCGTCCGCCGTTTACTACGGCGCACGGGATCGAGGGAAAAAGGCGAAGAGATGTTTTTAACAATTCTCCCCTAATAGCTCCTTATCTATCCATTACCGTTTCTCGCGCCTGCCTCGCGTGAAATGACAGTTCTGTCATACGCGAGTACGCGAGAGGATATTACGCGACACGGTCGAGCCGATCGTATCGCTTTGTAGATCGGTTGGAACAAGATCGGGGATTTCGAAGACGCGAGTGTCATGCCTCGGGGATCGTCGTGTTCGACAACTGTCGAGCGGAACGAGCCTGAGTCACGCGTACGTCGCGTCTGACGCGGAGCGATCGGCGCAACCTGTTTTCTCGCGTTCAGGCAATTGAGGATCGGAGCAAGGATTCCAGGAACATGCGTCAACCCGCCGAGGTTTAACAGCCGTGAAATCGTGCCGATTCGCGTCGCGCTCCGTGTCGTTCGTGCATCGCGAGCTCTACTTCGATCATGGAGGTTATCGATATCAATTAACATTAATGGAATCGCGTATAAGGCTGGCGGAGAGTCGGGCAGAGCTGTTTGTTGAGTTTATTTAGCGTAGACGCACAGCTGGGTGCGCGCCATGGAGAAGTTCATGATCGACTTGGACAAAGTCCTCAATGACTTTGAGTTCAACGAAGGTACGAGTCTTCCTGCCCGGACGAGTCCTCGGCAGGACCCTTTGTACACTCCGCGACCCGTGTTCCGAGTCCTCTTTTGTCGATAGAAGAGCCTGCGAAAGGTCTTTTCAGCCAACGACGAATCCTTCGAAGCCAATTTTGGTGGTACTTTCGTCGACAAAAGAGGATTCAGAATATGAACCTTAGATCTGGGTGCACCAACGTCGCTTAACTTTAACTTAGTTCACTCTTGGTCTCTTTCTAAGGGTACAGTTAAAATTACGTGACGTAAACTCGAACGAAGGATACAATTTTCTGCATTTGTTTGTATTTGAGTAGGAGAGAATACTTGAACGAGTTTATACCCGAATAAGTTACAGGAATTTTTATTAGAAAAGTCTGAATTTAAACAATATATCGTTCTAGGTATTTCTTACTTTCTCTTTGTAATTGAAGCAAGTATAATTAAGAATTAGAAACTTGAACGAGAGCTCAGGAATCCTTTTAGGGCAGAGGTATTTTCACAAGGGGGAAATCGCTGACCAAAATCTTGTACACCAATGCCCGGTGGGCATTACTTTATCTTATTATCTTATTTTACCTTATTTTATCTTTATAATGCCCAAAAAATGCCTAGTAATGTCCGGCAATGCCGCAAATCTGCACAACGCAATGCCCTCAGTGGTTTCCCCCTCGTATTTTCCCGTAAAATTATCTTTCAAATAAATTTATATGTCGAAAGTCGCGCGAAAAACTACATTATTGTGTACAAGTCATCCTGAACGCTCAGGAAGAAAATGAATCGACATGTAGCTCTGATGTCTAACAACGCATCATTGACCAGCCGCTCGGTCATGAATCTTTTCCTCCAGCGTGAACTCGTGTAAGGTGAAAAATTGTACTGACAAATAGTGAAATTGAACGAAATTTATCGACTTTCACGAGTTGACGCTAGAAGAAAGGATTCACGATCGAGTCCCAGGCCTAGAAGTTCAGTTGGCGACGTGAAACTCCGTTCGATTATGTTTGCAGATTGCGCGGAGCAGATAGCGTCAGTCGCAACCTCTACGATCGACGCGTCAACCGTGGAGAAGCGTGCCAGCGAGTCTGTGCCACCGAAAATGTACAGCTTCAGTCCCGAGAGAGCCGTGACGATCGACGTGGTGCCGCCGGTGGAGAAGTACAGGGACGTCCGGCCGACGGACGTCGACTCCAAGTACACGCTGGCCGAGAAGAACATAGTATTTATATCGGACGGTAAAGACCCCGTGAATCATTTCTATACGCACGAGCGTGTCGGCGACGTCACGACCGGGCAGAAATCATGTGTTCATACTTTTGACCCTGACCGAGTGTCTTCAGCGTACGGCGACATATCACAGAGCCCGATGCAGAAGCAGCAGAGCGCGGCGAGCGACTCGACGGACGGCGACAGGTACGACAAGAAGCTGAACCAGCCAAACTTCAAGCCTAGCATCAGCAACGTGTTTAACAGTTTGAACGAGTATATCAACGCTCCCACGGGAAGCTTGAGCTACGTCGAGCCTATGTTGGAGGAGGTGGACGATTTGTCCAATAGGTCCGCGGACGATGCGGCGGAGAGGGATTTTAGGTCGAGCAGAGACGTGGCGATTAACGAACGTTCAGTACCGATAGAGAAGGGTACGACGAATGTAGCCGACACGACTGTCGAAATCACAAAGATGATCTTGCCGGTGGAGTTGGGTACGTTCGGCAACGTCGAGACCAGCGGCAAACAGGATAATGCGAAGCAGAACGTTATGTTTTATCATTTCTCTCCGATACAGCCTGAGGAGAACAGCGGCGCCGTGATCCCGGTTTCGAACACGGCCATCTCGCAAATACACAATAACGTTACAATAGACGCGAGACTGTCTAGTAATAAAGACGACGTTGATAAGAAGGTCACGGCTAGCGACGCGTTTAAAGAAAAGTCCGATAGTATCGTCAGCGAACAAAGGCAGTCGGACTTGGACGGCCGAGATCCCGTCGACGAGTACGCGCTCGAGAATAAGGAGAGCACAGCTGAGGCTGCCGCAAAGTTAGATAAGACCGCGATGAGCAGCGAGAGTCACGATACGGGCGTAGGAGCCGCCAAGTGCAGCGTTTTCTCGAGCGTACGTATGACGCATACAACCGATACCAGCGATGATTTTTCCGAGGAAGAACTGAACCAGTATTTGCTAGAGTTAGAGAAGGAAGAGAGCTCCAAGACGGAAAACGTGCCGCTCTCGGATAATGCTTGGCCGTCGCAGCCGCGCGGCGAGTCGCGAGGCGACGGTGAGAAGAGCGCGGGCCACTGTCAGCGGGACGACGAGAACGTTAACGAGGCGCCGATATTCGAGAAGATTATGATAGGCGAACTACCGAAGATAGTTCCGCAGGAGGAGTTTCAGGAGAGGACGAAAAAGTTCCCCGTGATTGATTATAACGCGGACGCGTGTAACGAGGCTGTAACGGATGTAAAGTGTATCAATACAGTGAGGGACGCTTTAAATGAGAAGAGCGATCAACTGAGGGACGTACGAAGTAACGAGCTGGACGAAACGACGAGAGACACTCATCTGATCGAGGCGGTGGGTCAAGATGTAGCGACGCAAGAGAGCACCTTGCAAGCCGCACCTGGTGTCGCTGTCGTTCAAGAGAGGGTCGCGTCCAAGTTCGAAAGTCTTGGGGAACAGGTGTGCGATAACGACACGACGCAGAGATTACACCAAGATTCTAATAGAGACGCTCCGCCGCAGGAAAACAGTAGTGGTATTTCGTTAAGTTCGTCCGAGAACAAAGAGGAGCCTGACAAAGTGCATTGCCAAGATACCACCGAGAGTAACAGGAACGCCGTGCGTGAGGCTGGCGCGTGTGACAGCGAGGAGATCTCCAAGATGGAGACTGTGTCTAAGGTCAGCGATGCTTGTGTGGTCCCTCATACGAGGGAAGACGATCAGGAAGCCGAGAAACCCACCCGTCCCCAGACACTGGACATTGTATTGACGCATAACAAAAATGACTCGCATTCGGGTATGACTCTTTAACGTTCAATCTTTTATATCCCCTTTGTCATGCACGGGGAGAATTTGTTTGAAAATTTATCCTGAAACTCGCGGGACAATGTGGTACTTTGATGAATTTTATGAGAGCTTTTTGAAATTTTACCATACGTTTTACCAACGTTGCATGCTACGTGAGATAAATGTATGCATAAAGAATCTGATTGGGCCATAAATGCACACAGGAAATAGACCAATCAATTTTTTTTATGTATATGCTTAGGCATCTGCGCAATTTGTCTGGATAGACCTTAAGAGCCTGCAGCTTTGATTTTCATAGCGAGTAACAAATAATGTTGTAACAGAATCCTCGAGTGTTGTACAAGAGCCGGAACACCCAGCGGAAATCAGTGGCACTGTTGACGAAGACCGCGGCGCTTCGGATGTTTCTGATAATTCTTTAGGCGAATGGAACATAGTATTGGGAAAACAGCCTCCGTTTTGGATTCCGGATAGCGACGCGTCTAGTTGTATGTTGTGCGACGCTAAGTTTACTGTACTTAAAAGGCGTCACCATTGTCGTGCCTGCGGTAAGGTACGTATTTGCTGACGAGTTTAAGAAAACCCTGCTGTTTAGTTGTCCCATTGATGGATACATCGTTTATGATTTCATTAACTTTTTCTTTCTAAACGTTGAATTAGCTTCTCTTTTTTTTTGTGGCGACCAAATATTTAAATTTGCAACACATTTCGCAGGTACTATGTAACAAGTGTTGCAACATGAAATACAGATTGGAATACCAGGTACATGTCGATTCCCGTGTTTGCGCTCCGTGTTATCATCTACTCACAAAAGGTAAGAAGAAACAATCTTGATATACAGAATATGTTTCAATATATGATCGCCATCTTAAGACACAGTGGGGTATGTGTACTTTCAAGATAATCATTTTGAGATTCTTGTATGGATAACTTACAGTAAATTCTTTTTTGACACTGTTAAATCAAGCAAATGACAATGAATTTATGAGTACCGTTTACACGGCACCCTTAATCGAGTTTAATAACATCCGTACTTTTAAAACTGGCCGGTCACAATTGTTCCTCTGAGGAATGAAATGACTGTGATTGACCAGTTTTACAACTGCAGATGTTACTAAACCGGATTAAAGGTGCCGTGTAACAGCGCTTTATGTTGTACAAAAAATCCCATGTGTTTGCATTTTTCAGCAGAGAGCGAACAAGGAATGGGTGATTGGTCGGCCGGCTATAATTCGTATACCGACTGTAGCGATGTTAACTCAGTACAGGTATGTTATTTATTTGTGGATTGATTTCTTTTATCAACAGCTGTAGTGCAACTGTAGCTGTAGGAACAGCTATAAAAGCCTCCGTGAAGGAATTGCCCGTTTGTTAACGAAGCTCGAAAGAAGCTATTTAAATTCACTTATTATTAACAAATCACTTTTATGATTTCGCCCATTGAATTCCACCGATATAATACTAACTTTTTAAGCATTACATGAACATTAATATAAGCCTAATTAAATACCTATAACAACTTGTTGAATACTTCTGTTTGAATCTTATGCTTTACTTGTGCAGACAATTTATGTATATCGAAAACAGATTAACAAATATGTTGATAATCGAGACTTTAATATAGAAATTATATTGTTTTTATTTTGATAGGGAATGTTCAGAATGTATATTTGCGTTGGATTAGAAGTGCTCTGTCAGATAATTCTTTTTTAAATAGATATAGTACAAATAGAATTTTCTTTTTTAATACGACATTTTACGGATAATCTTGTACAAGTTCACGTAATATAATTGCTTGAACGTCTTTATTCTGCATTTCATTATTTGGTACAGTATATTTAGTAATGGAGTTTCTTTGTTAACATGATTTAAAATCATGTTGACAAAGAAAATGCATTAATTCGCGCTTGAATATTTGAACAAATACATATACTTTCGGTAGTTTTATAGTACTGATAACATGACTATTTAACTAAGATGATCAGTTCTTTAAGATAAGGAAATATGCAGATTATTATCAATTATAAATGTCCTTAGTGTTTGCAATATATATTTTGTGTTGAGTTACATTGTAGTAGTACATGATTTATAGCTTTTCTTGGGTTTTAAACACATTTTATTTGTCTTTTAGCAGAGTATGCATGTTGTTACAAAAGTAAAGCATGTTTTGTCAGAGCTATTATGCGATAAAATATAGTCTGCTTTGTATCACGATTATCGTGAGTGGAGTCCAGCAAACACATGGCGAGTGCAACGAAAACGAAGTGCATGCTGTATAATTGAATTAAATTACGTTAATATATTAATCAATAAAATTAAATGATAAGATCTGATCGTGTCATTGTCGTAAGCACTAGAAAGCAAAAGTGATACTCACATAAATAGCAACAAGTGCTTAAAATATTTAAAACAATTAAATTTAAAGTTCTCGTCGATTCTGTTCTCAATTACTTTTTAACGCTAAAAATATCTACGAACTTCGATTCTTCTAATCTCTTTTAGAACAATGGGGAGTCCGTTTACCAACGTTTACTGTAGAGAAAAAAACACCGAAAGAGAATAATCATATTTCTTCTTGTATGTCTGACTAATAAATGTGTTTGCTGAACAATTGAACAAATGTCGATGTTAGAAGTATTCGACAAATGGTTATAGGGGAGACAGCCTAATCCAAATAATCCCATGGAGTACTGTTCAACCATACCACCCTTGCAACAGTTAGCCGGCGGTATGCCGCCACCACCGACGGTGATGGTACCCGTGGGCGTTCTTAAGAGAGAGGGCTCGAAACATCGTGCAGAAGGACAGAAATCTGTAATGTTCAGTGACGGTAGGTAACTATTGTTTACGATTCAGCAATGTTATTGGTGTTCTTAATTCTCCGTTTCGTCTTCTCTTTCTCTTTTTCTCTCTCACTAATGCTAAGTAATTCTAAAGTAATCTTATAATAAGTATATATACCTTAAATTGCATATTGTGCAGACTTACATATTGCTACAATTTATTGTAAATTCATGAACGTAACACATTGCAGATTTTTTACGTTTGAACTTGCCGTATAATATACATAGTTTGTTATGGTTATATACAATTATTTTACAGAATAAATAAGTTTGGCATTTCAATCACTAGGCGAGATCTTATGCCGAAATGCTTTTGGATCTTAATAGGAGAATAATAACACGCCGTTAAGATAGAGCTAGATGTGTTGGAACTTGAGTCCATCGTTCTGGAAAATAGAGATTCAAATTAGTGTCATGACCGACATGATAAACCTCGCAATAAATGTAGAAGATGAAAGAGGAAAGATTCATAAGATGTTCATTGTCATTATTGTACACCAATTTTTAGCTTTGGCTGAAGACTACGTTTCAAGATCGTACGAGAAAAATCGGTGCATTAAGTGAAGCAAATATATATAATCTATTATATATTAGGCATAAGATCCTGCCCGGCGATTGAAAAATATCAAATTTCTTGATTATGTGTTATACACACATATCGGTTGCTATTTCTTAAAGGTACAATCGAATATACAATTATTTTCTAAGTCGTACACACATCGTTTTACCTGCTGCATTATATTTTTTTTCGTTTTGTCTCGTTTCTGTTATTCCTTTGTCCAATACGTCCTTTGTAAAATTATTAATCCAATATGCCCAACGTGAAATTATTGTTTTATTTCTGCCTCTCTGGAACATGTCAGTACGTTGTCAACTCCCCCTTCCCCAGCCTCTCCTGTTTGTTTTATTTTTACGCACCTATAACTAAAACACAGGAATAAGGCCTGGCTGTGACCTGACAGAGCTAGACACGTGTTGGGACCCAAAGCCACCGTACCGCAAGCCGGGAAATAAACGGATTTTTCCATCGGGATCTGCGTTGACGGACACTGTAACGAGAAGGCAACATCATCCTCCTCTAGACAATACGACCAATAGTTATATACCACATGATCCTAACTTATTGCCTCCGACTGTTACAATACACAAAGGCCGTAAGGATATTATATTAAAAGTATTCATAGTTGTAGCAATTCATTCATATTTTTTTCACTCATTCTTTTTCTCTTTACTGTAATCAGAAATTACGTACCATCCACCTATGGACGAAGATGTGCTCTATAAAACGCTGAAAAACGAATGCGAACCGTCGGTAATGTTCGCGATTAATCGGAATCTCTATGCATATGTGAAAATAACTAATTGTAAGTATACAGAAATTATGAGGTCGATATATTTGTAAGAAACTTGACGTTTTCATTTATATAATCTGCAGTAAATTGCTGCGTAAACAAGATCTGCTGGAATGTGACGTCGAGAGGACTTGCTTGTATTGGTCAGGACGAAGTTATTTTGTTAGTCGAGGTTCTGCCGGATGAAACACGGATTCCAAAGGACCTTCTGATATACATCAATCAATTATATCTCGAAGCTATTAAAGGTATAACATCTGGTATATGTATATACGCTAATTATATAGATTCAGTTGATACCTTAATAACAGTGCACATTCGTACGTTATATTGCAACAAATTATTTCTACCGTGTTTGTATTTCCAGGTAATACAATGACGGAACTCGGTTTCTCGGTGTACCAAGGTACCAACCTGTTGGGCTCACGCGAGCATGCGGGATTTCTTTTTATTCGCCAGACATTGCAGTGCTTGCAAAAGATTATTTTACCGCCTGCACCTTTCTTGATTGGACTTTTGGTTCACAGGTGAATATAATGAAATTTTGCACCTATTGTGATTCTGAATATTTAGTTCTGTGTTGTGTACATCTGCCGTGATTATCTGAATATTTTTCATGATGTTCCACATATGAAAATTGGCTTTTGGTTATTTTAGGTGGGAAACTCCATGGGCCAAAGTATTCCCATTAAGGCTTCTTTTACGTCTCGGGGCAGAATATCGTTATTATCCTTGTCCATTGGTGTCAGTGCGTTTTCGAAATGCGCTATATTTCGAAATTGGACACACTGTCATGAAAGTATTAGCGGATTTTAGAAATTTCGGCTATACTTTGCCAGGAGTGAGGGGCTTAACAATTCACCTCAAAAATCGTACAACAGATGTTATGTTCCCCAGGAATCGATACGATCAAGTTATAAAAGGACTTCATAATTCCAACGATCATGTTTTAGCTTATGCCTCGAACTTTAGCATAACCGCGGATTCACATTTAGTTTGCATACAAACGAATACCGGCGATGAAAGCAGTTATCAAACGCAAGCGATAAACATTCACAACAAACCAAGAACAGGTGGGTTTGTAGATAAAAGAGTTCTGATGACGACGTGTAAAGAACATTATTTTTCTCTTGTATAGTAACTGGCGCCAGTTTCATCGTCATCAATGGTGCTCTAAAATCCTCAATGGGACTTTCTGCCAAGTCCAGTATCGTTGAGGATGGATTAATGGTGGAAATAATGCCAGAAAAAATGGAAGCTTTGAAAGCTGCTCTAAAAAATATGCAGGATTTCTCAATTGGTTGCGGACGCCAGGGGGCATCGGAGCCGGACGAGACTGTAAACATTAAGTGGGTCGATAACGACACGCTGTTCAATCTGGGGTAAATTCTTCCGATAAATTTTAATTATTATATTTGAAATATTTGCACAAAATTTGCCGACGTTTATTCCTTCCATATCTTTTCCTCCCTCTTTTGCTTCTTTCTTTCACGAATTTTTCAAATGAGAACTATGATCTATATTAATATATTTTTAATAATATTGTATATCATGAATTCTTTTCCCTGTCTTAATATTGAACACATTAAATAAATAGCGATCTTTTATTATCAGTGTTAAAAGTCCTATTGATGGCCAATTAATGGACGGTATACCATCTATTAGAGTACATAATGGCATTGATTATAAAGGTGCAACCCGATTCATACGTTGGACAGAAGTATTCATTATAAAAGTATGTATATCATTACAGAGAAGTAGCATTATTTTAAATACATATGTATAAGTTAGATTAAAGTAAAGTAATATTATTACAAAAGTCAGATGATCATTCGAGTGGCGTGAACGATCCTGTGGATATAAACAAACTATCTGGCAGCATAGCAAAAGCGACATGTGCAGCACTAGTTAAATTGCTGGATCTTCTAGCAACAGCGGGTTTAACAAAGCTCGGCGTACGGACAACAATTCATCCAGATAATGTAAATATAGCTCTCTGGTTTATACAATTCACTTTGTGCCATTAGAACTGTATTTAATGTTAAATTTACATATATATATATAGGTGGGCTACGAAGCTGGAAGTGAAGGTACAAAACTACCGCCAATATATATGAAAAGTTTAGACAATGAATTAATTCAAGTTTTACATAAAGCTGTACAAAGTAGTCAAGATGCATATACAGTACTTGAATTGATATTTTATGTGCTTGAGGATTAAAAGAAAAAGGATATATAAGATATTACATCCGCATATTTTAACCGGTGATGTCTTAAGGATAATAACTTTCATTCAACTGGGAAGACGTGCAATTGCACTGAACATCGTGGTGCAGTGATTATATGATCTGTATGTTACTTTTTATTGTATATATACCTTGTTTTATAATTTATGAGATTTTCGATTTGTCTATTTATTAAGACGTTATCCTTATTATTTGCTATTTATTAAGATTGTAAATGAAACATTTTTTATTTTATCGTGAAATATTCAACGATGTGCATAAAACCGCATTACAAATGTAAGTCAAGAATCAAGAAGAGAAACAGTAATAGCACTGTGCCGTGACAGAAACTTCCAATGTCTATTCTCTCAAAAATTTTACGTTGTATTTTTTGTTTCTCAAATAATCTCATACATAGGAATGAGTGGTAATGTAATGCAAATATGTGTATCGTGAGTTACGAGAAGAACATCTTCTCTCTCATAGAAAGATAAGGTAATACACAGTAGTGGATTTTGCATTAATATTGCATTCAGATTATTAATATTTCATTGAAGTTTTATTAACCGTAGAGATATGTTTCTTGCTTAACTTTAAAAGCCTCAAATTTATACGTAAGACAAGTACCATTAATTTTATCACAGGAAAAAAAATTAACATTATTTTGGATAAATCATTTATATACACATATGTATAGATCTGTTGGCGCGCGCGCACGTGTGCGTAGTGATATGTATTTTAGGAAGCTCATGATAAGTACACATTTATTCGATATCAATCGTAATCAATCAGATCAGTCAGCCTCAATTAATACAGTTACGTTGAATAATATGTAGAATGTTTATTGCCAAAGACTTACGCAGGTTACACTATATAATCTTTGTTAATGTAAATATGTATCTGTCCTTTCTCGATTGTTTTACGAGGTATAGGGTGATCACTTTACATGCAGAAATAACCTGCGACGTTTTCATAAAAATTTCTTATAAAACAAATGAGTGTTTAATTGACAATTACTAACAATTACCAATAATTAGATTGCAGAAAAATTGCCGAATACGAACATACATATTGCAAATGTGTGTTCGCAAAAATCAGTTCTTTCCCCATTGATATAATTCTCCACTAACTCTCTTTTATAGCAAGGTTTTTTGGGGTATGAGGACAGCTTGTAACACTACTATAATGTAATTATGTATTATTGTATTTATTGTTATAATAAACCTGTTAGCTATATATACAATTCATATTATAGCGAGACATTTTATTACTCGATTCTGATTGAACAATGAGATATCGGCGCGCTATTAACACATTGGTACATAACAATGTTAATAAAAGTATTTTGTTATAATTGTGAGTTTATTGTTTGTATTATTACGTGCACAAAAGGTACATCCTTTACTCCTTATGCATTTGACATTGAAAAATATTGAATGTATGCGCTACAAACGAATATATCATATATCAATACTGTGTTGATACGTTGTTGTCGGGGCAACCGAAGCTATAACGCCTGTCGCTTTGGACGTTGGTCATTTGATCATTTATTATTACGTGTTTATAGCATATCACAGAGTTATACAAGTGTTTGGCAAGTTCAAAGCGCGCTTTTGGAAAGACACCCGCGAGATTTGCTGCGGGCAAACCTCATCATGAGCGAAAACGTGAAATTTATTGTGACGGAAGTAAATAAATTATTAGGACGAAATTACAACCTGATCGGATTCAACGCTTTAAACGCTGAGGATTTGTTGCAGGTATCTCTTCGCTATTTTGTCATCGCGACACTTTCGAAAAATGTTCCATTTTTTTTCTCGCAGATATTATGCAGCGTTCTACTCAAGATACAGCAGCAAGACGTTTCTGACGCCGATATTAAATTGGATTCGCCAGAAGAAAATTCAATATATATTTTAACAGCCCTTCGAGTACTTAATTACCAGCCCGATGTGGATCCCCTGACATTTAGGTGATAATAAGAGTTCGGATACTTTGAGCAAAATGCTATTTTATTTTTCTCATTCTGTTGACTCTCCTCAAAAAGTTATATAAACGACACAAATGAAAGTGGAGGACAGTAAAAGTAGATTTTTATATATTTTTGAAAATAAGTTTACTTCTGAGAATAATGAAGCATAATGGATCAGAAACGTCAGCCACACTTATGAATATATTTGAAGCTGGTGTCTTATTTCGTGGAAAGCAAAATGTATGCTACTAGATTCGAGTAGATTGGCAGATTGACACTAAATGCGTCCGCATAAAGCTCGTGTTATGTTATCAAAACCTACTGATTATATAATCTGATGGCATATTGCCAACAGAAATCGAGCAAAATTTGCCGTCATTTTCTGCTAACAATAAGTAAAGAGTGAGAACAAAATTGGCCTCACTCCAACTCGGTTTTGGAATTTGGAAAAAAAATGGGGCCATTTGCCTATGGACTCTTGTTCTCACTCTTTTGTCACATTTTCACTGGTATTGTATCGATAAACTTTGTAGCAGATATTTTGCAAAATCTGTTTTTAGTTTTAGCACACAAAAAACTAGGAAAAGCAACTATTCTCGTTCTTGTGTTTGAAAGAAAATAATTTTTGTTGAACAGTGTAATAGTCTCTTGCAATTGTGTCCTGTAAATTTTTCTGTATTTTCTTGATTTATTTTATTATATATGTATATTTACTGAATATGTTTGCCTTCTCTTTTATGATCTTTATTCGTATATTAACAAAATAATAAGAAGAATAATTATATGGAAAACTTTTTCCTGGGTACTTGTAACGTTATCTTCCATTTAGACAAGGTTTAGTTCGAGGTGACATCGAAATTATCCATCCTATATTAACGTGGCTCTTGACGCATATCGACGTAGTTCAGAAAAGAGCGTATCTATCACAGTTTCTCGTCAAGGTAAGATATTGAAATTGCCTCGCGAGCATACATTAAATGTGCCTTTGCATATTAAATCACATAATGAATGAAAAAGAAAACCGACTAGCATAAATTCCTGAAGCCGAAATGCTATTCTTATTTTAGGTTGAAATTCCATCCGAGTATCTGGGAGATTCGGAAATATCCCTTTTATACGAGCAGTACTCGTCCCTCGTCGACAGATTTAAGACAGTTCATAAGGAAAGGGAAGTAGGAAAGAAGGTATGTGTTTCTTTCGTTTCTCTCTCGTTTCCCTACACGAATAGTGAAAACTTTTTCCTCCCATTCACGCAGAATGTCGAAACTGCTGCCGAGCTCGCAACGGATCTACAAGCAATGGCAAAGGAAAAGGAAGTATGTAACAAATATTTCTGTAATCTTAGCTACATGTATAAAAATATTCCATGTAGCGCCAATTCGAGATAGCACAAGTCCCGATTCGTTGACATCCTTTTTTTTGTCATAAACGCAGGCAGTGACAGCACGTATCGGCAAGATCAAGTCGAAGGCTGAGCCTGCGCTGCATTTACTAGACGTCTGCAGATTGTTACGAACGGAAAGGGACAAGGAACGCGACCTAATGTCACAGAAGGAACAAGAGGAAGACACTATCTCCGATTTACAAGTATATTCCTTTATGCAAAACTATAAATTTCTTAGGAAACTATAGCTTCTCGCGTTTAACTGCTTTTACTCTCCCTGCGACCTTATTCTCGCGCACATCCAGAGCTCCCTTCAACGAGTCGAACGCGAGTTGTACGCTTTGAAACGCGATAGTACCGGGCTCACACCACAAATATTAATCCAACATCTGACGGAGGAAGTGACGGTACAATCGGCGATTGTGAATGAGAAGCTTCCGTCTGAGTTAAACGCAAAGAAGAATCGGATGAGAGCGTTGTCGATAGTCAAGGATTATTCTTATTTGGGCCCGGATAAAATTATGACCATGAGAAACGATTTAGATGCGATATTAAAGGACATACAAGATTTGGTGGAGTCGAAAGTGAGTATGCGGCATTGTAACGCGTTTTGAGGATTTATTTGATAATATTGTATAATAAACTAATTAAATAACTAGCCAGTTGGGTTGACTATAAGTTTCCCGTCTCAATTGATAATAAATTGTTGTGCGGCGAGTCTCATTCGTTTCTTGATTTTTAGATATCTAAAAATGATATCGATAAAATGGGACCGTTCAGGCAGCAAGCTGCTGCTGTCGGGAATATGAAGCGGAACGCTCTTGAACGCTTGGAAAAGATTGAGAGTTCCTTGGAGGAATTACAATCGCGATTAAAAGAGAAACAGGATCACTCGCGAGCTTTATTGGAGACATCAATACCTAGAGCAGAGGAACTGAAAAAGTATATTAATCGTTTAAAGACTAAAGGTACATTGTATAAGCGTTGCAAAGCGGAGGCAGCTGGTCTAAAAGCAGAGAGTGGTGTACTGAATCGAACAGTGGCTATTCTAGATGGACAGGTAGCTCGGAACACGCACAATCTCTCAGATCTGCTTAATATGTGTGTGTTACGCGCTTTGTATTACGATTTCAGATAACTCAGTCTTACTCAACGAACATTGCATCTAAAGTAACAATTCCGGAAAATTATACGCTAGATAGTGCATTAGCGACGAATACTCAATTGTCTCATTCGATATTGGCTCTGCGAACCAATCTTGCTCCGATTATAAAAGGTAATAACAAAGCTCATTTTGTAAAGCAACATCAAATAATGTTTATCTGCATTGCCAAATCTTAAGATTCCTGTTTCCTGTAGTCGTACTGAATTTTAATATCAAGAAAGAAATTAATCACGTTTTCGTACAGTATGTCAAACAGATTTGTTTTTATTGTAATGCTGCCTAAATAGTAAAACATATCAAACACATACATTTTTTAATTATTCTATATAAATAAGTACATTATTCAATCCATTGTAGATTTGTTATTTATGTACAGTAATTATGCATGTCTCTTATGTGCGTAGATATGAAGTCATTACGGCATACGGCACGTGATACTGACGAGAGGTATCAAAAAGCATGTAAAAGTCACAACACAGTAGAAACGACCATGAAAAATACGACGAGCGATTTGCTGTCCGAAACAAAACGGCTAAAGGATAAAGTGCTGCAGGTAAAATTTATATATCGAGAACAATGTTATCCATATAAAACTAATATTGTATTGTAGGATGCCAAAGATAAAAAACAATTACAACAAAAAATTGCAAAAATAAAGATTACCGAAGAAAGGCTAAGTAACGAAGCAAAAGTAAATATAAAATCTCAGAAATAATATCTATCGTTATACTCAATTCATTTGCAATAATATTTCTTTCTTTTAGACCAAAAAAGATATTAACAACGTAGGGCGAACATTAAAACGGGAATTACAAAATACGATTGCGACAGAAGAAGAAATTGCAAAAAATTTGAACAAGGAACAAGAGAGGATAAAAGAGCACACTGTGCAGTACGAGAATAAAACGCAACAATGGAATAATATCATATCGTAAGTAATATTCCAGATGTATGTTTAAAAATGTGTATTGATTTACAAGTATTCTACAACTTAATAGCAAAAAGTTTAGAATAATTTTTGATGAATATTAATAAAATGTTTGCACGTTTCAGAATCTTTTCTTGTAAAATTGATTATGCAGCAGAAAGTAAACAGACCGATGGCATAGTCGTACGGAGAGGAGGCGCTGAAACTCTTGTGTTGCAATAATATTAATATTTATGTAATATTTGTCACGCATATTTTTACTAGAAAGCTAAACATTTATAAGTTTCTTGATTAAATATTTTAAATATAGAAAATACATACAATATATGTTAAAAATATATACAATGTACAGTGAAAACTGCAAATGAATAATCTGTGTTTTTTACGATGCGTATGAGATTTTCTTCAAGATTTAACAAAATTGAATTCAAGATTAAGACCTGACATCATCCTTTTACCGTGACCGTTTAAACGACGACCTCTACCAGTCTGGAAACTCGTATTATTGTGATGTGTGAGTCGGTGACGCCAGGGGAAAGTAAAGCTGCTCGCCTCGTAGCAATAAAATCGTAGACGGAGACGCAGTCTCGCTTCGTGCACGGACAATGTACCATGTTTGTGTGTAACTGCCTACAATAGAATTTAGTTTCAAGTCACGAAGGTCACGTCTTTTCTTAAAAGCATATAAGCACGGATTCAGCATCTTATGACGAACATGATAGTGAAACATTTTTTCCTCGTTTTGGCAATCACGCTGTTGCTATACGTCGGTAAGCGCTGCTCCTTTTACTTCATCGCGCATTTCATAACTATTTCAGGAAACAAATCAGGAAAGAGTGAAGCGTGTGTCATGAATCATTTTATACGCGGGGAAGAGAATATTTTACGTGTACAAATTCGATAAAATCACTTCTTATTATTAGTGATTTTAAAAAAGATTATTTCAAATTTACATATTTGTAACAGGACAAAACTGCGATTATTTCGAAAGTTTTTATGTTTAGAGAAAATGAATACAATGTTGCATCGAGATAACTTTTGATAATAGAATATACGATGATAGGAAATATAATTATTTCGAGAAATGTATATGTGTAAAGATTAATAAAGCGCATAAAGAGGAAAGTAATCGTTAAAAAGGCACGTACAACATACTACTGTAACGTTGACCAGATTATACCGATATCTCGAATGACCATTGTGACCCCGTGATAAATAACATTAAAAATTATACCGACCCAATTTTAAATGTGCAGATATCGAGCAGCATAGATACAAAATAAATTTGTCCACGTATAATCTTCTTCTCATTTCTATGTTTTATATTTTTAACGTCAATTTCAATGTTACATATTCTCAACGTCAATTTTCGTTTTTATTCTCAAAAGCATTCGCGAGAAGTTAATGCTCGATAAACATTTTTTCACCTACAAATATATAATATATATTTTTATATAATAAATTTTTACTGGGTGTACAATAATATTACGTGCACTAAATAGTTTTATTTGCATGGAGTAAACTAAGATTCGATAATTCACTAATTCTTTCCTTCAGGAAATAGTGAAGCAGGATGGAAATTTTGGAAAAAGGAAGAGACCACTACTACGACGACGACTACGACTACCACTATACCATCCGTACAATCCGTTACTCCGACAAAGGCTACAATCATTGGAGGACCGACAGTGCCAGCTATAAACCCCGCTAATTCGGGACCGACAATTGGCCAGAACGGAGCTCAACAAAATGTAGGAAATAACGCGCGACCCTCGGCGCGACCCAATCGACCTAATCCAGGGACCGAAGTCGGTCTGGATATTGTTGCGCCGAAGCCAAACAGGCCGGGAATCGGCGGTGGAAATGGCCAGACTTATCGGGATTGGGCTGTGGATTTCGCGGGAGCTGGGGAGCCAGCACGAAATCAACCATCGAGAACACCTGGTCAAGGATTGGCGACTAACGGTGGTCAGACGCGGCCCAGTTCACCTACAGGTTGTTATTTTGTACGAATAGCATTTCCTTGCGAGCCATAATTTAAAAAAAAATTGGACAAATATTCGAGTGTTAAATTCACATTTCCATGTATTGCTCACACCAAGTTAATATTTTACCTGAGATATTATAATTATGTTAATAATTTGAATACTTACAAATTATGTAATATTTTAGATTCGAGGCCAACATCGGTATCGGGAAATATACCGATTCAACCGACGCAGCCATCAGTAGCAGGTTTTATATTATTTAATTTAAGGGATTTCAAAGAAAGTTGAAATTTTGGTGTCAACAAGAATCAGTTTGACTCATTTTTACAGGCTCGAGAAATACGCCTCAACCCCTGCCTCAATCAACAAGTACAGGTTAATTACCGTCTGATAATTACTAATGTAGAGTCAAGATTTTAAATATAAAATGTTATATAAAATATAATAAATATTGAAACTTTATAGTGCCGAAGCCGACTTCTGTGCAGTCCGTTCATCCTTATATAACGCCCGGTAAATTTCTCTACACACGTTGACTCAGTCGCTGCAGTTTCAGTAAAAATCTCAAATAAAATCTAATGTATGTTCAGGATCTACTACTGCAACACCACCCGCTAGAATCGACCAGAACAATCCAAATAGACCTTCAAGTGGACAAACGTGGGCTAATGTCGTCGCTGGTGGTGCACATGGGCCTGTTTCACCTACAAGTTCTCCGAGGCAACCCGGATATCCAGGTATTCCTTTACACAAAGAATGCTCAAGGGTGTCTGGCAGTTACCGAGCCATCTCGTAAATAGAGCGAAATTAAACAGTCCTTTACTAATTTGCGAGCTTCTCAATAATTAATGAGAAATTCATTAATAAGGAACAGCGTGCGTCCGCACAATTTGCCGAGAAGAGACAGCTCAGCGTCACGCGACAATTACGGTTGCTACGCGCGAGGCATATGGCATTGGAAGGAACGCACGTCTAACAATTATGAATAATACATGACGCTGCGGTTGAAAACTCTTTCTTAAAAATGCCTTTCCAGAAAATAACTTTATTGTATATAATTGAATGAGGGTTTCAAGTAAGCTTTAATTTAGTTACAAAAATATTACAGAGTTCCCATAAATCTAGTGGTGATGAAAATAATTATGAAAAATATAACATTTTCGAGAAAGATATGAATCAAACCCTGGCTGAGGTAATATTTTTCGCAATAAATTTTCTGTGTTAAAAACACATAGCCAGTCATGGTCGATTAACTGCTTTGCTTAATCATGTTGATTCATCTGCTGGCGTCAAATGATTCTTGATGTCAAAAATCTATGGTTGAAACAATGTAGTGCAACAGAGAGATTAATGTATATTTTGTGTACGAATCAGGCGAAAACGAGCGCAGGACTATGCCCGGAGCACCGATACGACCTGATCAATCCCCTCAACCCAATCGTCCGGCATCACCGGGGGCCGCAGCAACAGGTAGTGCTGCTGCCGCCGCTGGAGCAACAGCTATTACTGGTCGTGTCTCAGACTCAACTGGGAAAGTGTACTCCAGCAATCCAACATATAGTAAAGGAAATACAATTACCGACGAGGATTTAGAAAAGCTTTCCGAGGCGCTTTATATTAAAGAGACGAACAATAATGCAAACCAATACGTAACAGTTAATTTGCAAAAGCAGACTACCGGCAGCAGTCCGACGGATCAAGCTCCGCAGCCGTAAGAATCATAATAATAAAATATAATATATGCAAAATGAGAAAAAATGTAGGATATAGAAAATGATAAATGTTTTAAATGAGTAATTGACACAGAGTTCAAAAACTTCCCAGTGAGAAATGATTCGTCGAAATGATGTCGACATCGATCGACGAGTCATTTCTCGCTGAGTTAAAGACGGAATGTATAAAATTGACAAAAACTATCATTAGATATAAGATCCCGAAAATATCAATAGTTATTTATTTATTTATTCTGTGTTATACATATTGGTCGATATTTATTAATTTTTTCCCCCATTTGCATTCGCTCTGCCTATTCTCCCCTCTCTGATTTTTATTCATTTAATTGCAGGCTGCTCACAGTAAATCCCGCAGCTTTCCAGATTCCTACGATTCAAAGAGTCCTCTCGATATTCGACAATTATCAATTAGACACTCATACAAACGAGTATATTAGCCCAGCTCAAAGAGAGGAAGAGAGTCTTCTCGTTGATACTTTTCTGAGTACAAATGTGATGTCTGCTGCGATGCGTTTCCTCGCAGATAAAGGATTTGTGAGGAAGGATTATTATGAATACAAAGATATGTTAAGGAGAATTTGGTTCAATCTATTTTCGCGCGGGCAGGGTAAGCTCTGCTGTACTGGATTCGAGCACGTCTTCATGGCGGAAACGAAACAGGTAGATTCGGGTACGGAGGTACTTGGACTACACAATTGGATCTTCTTCAACGCGGAAGAAACGAAGAGGCACATCGACTATCTAGGCTACATTAAGAAAACAGATTTAGGAAGTGTAAGTACTTTTCGGTAAAGAAAGCTTGTGTCGCTAAATCTCAGTTTCATCGTATCCACCGATTCAAATATCTAGATACACAAATGCAATTTTATTTTTGTAGAAGGGATCTATCGTCAAGATGCATGCAAAATTCAATGGTTACGACAAACCAATTGTGTCTGTGTTCATCGGAACCTCGCCCGAATTGGAGATGGCACTTTACACTGTTTGTTTCTACGCAAGACCAGATGGCAATTGTCCTGTATCCTTGGGAGGCACAAAGTTTAACATAATAACGCATAAATTTAGATATAGAGGAAAAGATTTAATCGGGACGGCATACCCGGACATTTGAATTCTGTGTAAATGTGTGGAATTTGACGATGTAAAAGAATGCATAGAAACAAGTTGTTCATACTTATAACATGCCTATAATTAATTATAAAGCCAAATGGCAATAATTGAATATTATAAATGCTTTGTATATTTAATTTAGATAAAAAGTTCTGATAAAAACGTGTGATCAAATAAATATTTCACATAGAGATATTCGAGTTGCATGATGAGCATTTGATCAGTCACCGTCAGCTGCTCATCGCAATTAATTAGAATAATTATAAATATAAATAAATGCTATAAATAATATAAATATAATAAATAAATATAAATTAATACTTTAATATAAGAATAGAACATGCGGCTATATCTTTGCAAGATTCTGTTACACAAATGCGATATAAACATACAAAATTGACCACATTAAAAAATTCTTTTAACAATAAAGTAAATTATTCTAAAGCACTATTCATATCGTCGTTATAAATCTTTATATACAATAATATTGTAGATAATATTATAGACATTATTGTAGATGAGGCAAAGATTGCATGTAAATTTAGACTTTGATGATGTAAACAGATTAATTAAAAAGAAGAATAAAATACAATTATAATAAGAAGAGTGAAAACGCAAAAACACAATAATAATGATAATAATAACTAACATAAATTTAAAATGCAAAAATTTACATTAATTAAATACAAAGAAAAAATAATATTTGAAAATATAGAAAAGAAAAGGAAGCAAGATAGATATAATATATCGAACTAAAAATGGGTAGCAATATAATGAGAAGCAGCTGTTTTGAAAGTGGCTGCGAATGAAGAGGATCGAATGTCACTATATTTCATAGCCGATGCAGAGTAGATATTTAATATTTCAATATTTATTTGTGCAACAGAAGAGAGTAATGGCAAGATCGATGAGCAGCAGAGAGCTGTATGTGTTTTGTGGAAAGATAATCTAAGTAGTGAAACACAGATAGAGAACGTAAACAGATAAGAAACACAACTCGTAACAGCATATGATGCACAGTACATAACGTAAGCAAGGGTATCGCGGAGGTGGGGAGACTGATCTCATGAGCAAGACATTAAATCGAGCTTCACGCTTGCAGTCCAACCAGCAATCGTCGTGAGAACGCTTCATCAAGAATGTACGCGATTGAAAGGCTCGTGCTGAGAAAAGGCAACTCGTGCTTTGGATTGAAATGGCCGGCCTCTTGTGTCAGTGATAAATCATACCACAGCGAAAATGGAGTTTACGGATACAAACCGAAACAACGAAAACACTTTGAAGGTGTTTGCCGTTTTTATCAAAGAAATGAAAATAACTCTGGATTAATCTTTTCGCTATGAAAGTGTTCACGTGAAACATATCTCATTTCGGCTCGTTTCTTACGTCTACAATAATGTTTAATTAAATCAAAATTAGAAACGTTTTATTAGAAAAAGTCGGGAAATCGAGTGCATATACAAATTCTCGTTGTTACGATTTGCTCGTTGTCCTAGATTCACTTCATTCTAGAGATGCAAATTTGTGATAAATAACATGTGGATCAGACTGCGAATCATATCGTGAAATACGCTCGACAATGTGCACGCCAAAGGCGTTATCGTATGTCGCAATTTTATTTGATTTCACCCACGAACTTGATTTTGAATTTGAATTTGATTAAAAAAATTCATGGCATGTGAATAATTATTACTAGCGTTTTTTTTAGTGTCAAAAAAATACCTGGATGAAAGAGCGAGACAGAGCAACTTTTACAGATTGGTTAGTGCATATAGAACTCATGGACACAAGCAAGCAGATATAAATCCCATTTCAACTAGCAAACCACAGCTATTATCTGAATTGCAACCGAAAAACTTTGGACTAAATTTACTGGATAGAGTCCGTTTTCGAGGGATTCTGTTTACACAGCAAGATGAAGGGACAGTGGAAGAAGCCATTCGATTTTTACATGCTACCTACAGCGATAGCGTGGGAACAGAATTTAGTCATCTTGAGGTAATTTAGAATTTAAGCGAGAAAACGGGCTAGGACTAGACCAGGATTCGCGAACCTGGGATCTCCCGCTTGCCGAATGCTCTTCCAACTGCTATTCAGATCCACACGGGAAATCTCTCTCACTTACCGCACTTACCTACTTACTGAATAAAGTACGGATGGTATACTAGCAGCGCGACTCCAGAGCGATGCGTGGTATCTCACTCAATGGTTTGGTAGACCATCGTATGGAATTCGATAGAATTTCACTGTTATGCATAAAACTTCGAGAATTTATCTTTCAAAAATTACGAATGCACTAAAGATTTAAAGTTGTAAAATAGCTTTCGTTATCTGCCGTAATATTTTGACGATAAATCGTGATTAAATTGTTGATAAGGAGATTTTGATTTTGAGTAGACGGAAGAAGAAAGGGAATGGTTCGCTGAAACAGTGGAGACAATTTTAGCCGAGCCATTGAGCAATGAAACGCGCGAAACGATAGCTACGGAAATGCTCAAGAGTCAGGCTTTCGACCACTTTTTGGCCATAAAATTTGTCAGTCTAAAGAGATACGGAGGAGAAGGAGCCGAGAGTATGCTGGCCTTTTTTCACGAGTTTTTCAAACTATGTGCCTGTGGTAATTAACGAACACTTAGTTTAAAAAGCCGTATCTTTAGTATAAAAAATATACATACATATATTTATATACACTTCTGTGTAACAAGAAATTAAAAAAATTTTTTAACACTTAAGTTATATTAATATTTAAAGATTTTAATATCAATGTTTTCAGAATAAATATAAAATTACCATAATTAGCCAAGTCCAATTTTTGATAGTGTGTTTGACAAAAGGCAGTAAATGTTCTTTAAAAACTTTTTTTTCTATTCCCACGCTGTTAGGATTTCAACTCATTCTACTTAACAGATACGATGTTTTGCAGTAGCAGTAGCATTCATTGCGCAAAAAAGTTACTTAACGTTATCATTCCAGATAATTTGGAACGCGTGATTATTTGCGCTGCACACCGCGGCCGTCTCAATCTATTAACGGGACTGCTGAACTTCCCACCAGAGAAATTATTTTGTAAATTGCAAGGGCTTTCTGAATTTTCGGATGCGACCAAGTGCACCGGAGATGTGATTAGCCACCTCATAAGCGCCACTGATCTTAATGTAGGCGAGAAAAGTCTTCACGTAACCATGCTACGAAATCCATCGCATTTGGAAATAGTGAATCCCGTGTCGATGGGAAAAACGCGAGGAGTTATGCAGGCGGTTAAAGAAGCCGCGTACGGCGATAATGAAGACGCGCAATGGAGCGATAAAATAATAAACATTCAGGTAGTTATAGGATAAGTAGTGAAGATCTTCAAGTAGTCAAGATAATCATATTAATAATCGACGTTGCATAGTAATAATAAAATAACTTTTCTTTATATATTAATAACTTAATTAATAGTTCAAGAAAGGTAGCAGTCATTTCAGCCAGTGTCTTTAGCCTGAATAAAATTTTAAGCTTCAATATAAATGCAAGTAGAGTAGAATTAATATTTCTGTTTGATAGACGTTGTACAGGACTTAATAGTTTAATTTATAAACTTTCGGTATTGTATAATTTCTGACTGAACGTTTGATTCCCAAAATCTTATTAACTCTAATTTTTACAACAACGTTTCGAATTGTTATTGAAAGTTTTAACAATACGTCGAATTTTGAGTGGATTACAACTTTTTTAGAACGTCGTATATTATATTATATTATTTTATAATCTTTTTTATAATATCGACCTTAAATTTCTTAAATTTGTGTTAAATAAACATAGAAAAAAATTACAAAATTAATGTAGGAAAAATTAATCAACATCGAACCATTAAAAGATTTAAAAAAGATTCTTCTCTCCGATTCTTTTACTGAATTGTATTGTTTCTTTATTATATTCCAAAATGTACTCTGTTTGCATTATGATTCGATATTTTAAATGTTCAGGTACACGGAGACGCTGCCTATCCGGGACAAGGGGTTAATCAGGAATGTTTAGTTTTAAGCAGAACGCCGCATTTTGAAATTGGTGGTACAATTCATTTGGCAATTAATAATCAAGTAGGCTTCACAACTCCACCTTCGAGGGGTCGATCATCAAGATATTGCACAGATTTAGCGAAAACTATATCTGCACCAGTAATTCACGTGAACGGTGACAATCCTGAGGTATGTTCTCATAGTAAAAAACCTCTATTCGTTAACATTAATAGCGAACCTTTAATTGTAATTAAAAAATATGTTGTAGATGGTTATACGAGCTGCGAGAATAGCCTTTAAATATCAACGACAATTCAGAAAGGATGTATTCATTGATCTAAATTGCTTCAGAAGATGGGGCCACAATGAACTGGATGATCCCACGTTCACAAACCCTCTCATATATAAAATTATACACAACCGTCCGTAAGTTTGCGATACAAGTTACGGGAAAAAATGTTTAATGCACGATTTAGAGACATGATTTTAAAGTACTCGATAAGAGGAATAGAAAATAATAAATGTGCTGCAAAATAATGTAAATCTCTCTTTTTAATACAGATCTGTACCAGATCGATATGTGGAGGAGCTGGTAGATCTCAATATACTTTCTCGAGAAAGTGTTAAAAATACCGTTGAAAGTCACACGGCGTGGTTGAATAAGATCCTAAAAGAATCTTCAAAGGACGCATCTTCGGGACAGTCAACCTCTTATCTTGCTGGAAGATGGACGGGAATGAAACAAGCTGAAGCCAGTATAACGCAGTGGGATACCGGCGTCGAGCTGGGCCTGTTACGATTCGTGGGAGAAAAAAGTGTTCAAGTGCCACCGAATTTCGTAAGAATATATCTCGTGCATATGTAAAATATCTCCACGTGTAACAAAAGAATTACTTTGTAAAACTATCAAATCTCATCTCAATACTTTCGTATTATTCAGAATAGCAAATCATAAAGCGCACGAGTCAGATGGAATATTCCTGCACATAATCGATAAAGTGTAATTTTTTTTGTAATGTAGGATATTCATCCACAATTATTGAAGACTCATGTTCAAAATCGTCTAAAAAAGATCGAGAGCGGTAACGCATTGGACTGGTCCACTGCCGAAGCGTTGGCTATCGGTTCTTTACTATATCAAGCATACAACGTGAGAATAAGCGGGCAGGACGTGGGTCGTGGCACTTTCTCGCAGAGGCACGCAATGCTCGTTGATCAATCTACAGGAGGTGTGCCTGACACATTAGTCGAATAAATATTAACTTAGATTTATCGAAACGGTTATTATCACGTAGACCTATTTGAGATCCACGATTATCATACAGATGTAAACTTTTAGATATTTGCATCCCTCTGAATTCGATGGTTGACGATCAAACTGGCAAATTGGAGGTGGCTAACAGCATTCTATCCGAGGAAGCTGTGCTAGGCTTCGAATATGGTATGAGCACAGCGTCGCCGTTCACGCTGCCCATTTGGGAGGCGCAATTCGGGGATTTCTTCAATGGGGCTCAAATCGTTATCGATACGTATATAACGAGCGGCGAAGCAAAGTGGATGCTGAGCAGCGGCCTAACAATGCTTCTGCCACACGGATACGACGGTGCTGGTCCGGAGCACAGTTCATGTAGACTCGAAAGATTCCTACAGTTAACGGACAGCAAGGAGAACGGCGTCGACGGCGAGGACGTCAATATGCATATTGCGAATCCCAGTGAACCGGCACAATATTTCCATTTGTTAAGAAGACAGGTAGGAGACAAAAATATTCCTTAGCGAAAGCGCTATGGGGCGAGGATTTAAATAGCCTTGGCTTCCTAAGCGACAAAATAAATATTTAAATGAAATTAAAACACCTTATAAAATTTAATAGATGATAAGGTATTATCGGAAGCCTCTGATAGTGGTGGCACCTAAAATTTTATTACGTCATCCGGCAGCAGTGTCACCCTTGTCGGATTTTGAGCCTCGGACGAGCTTCAAAACCATTATTGGTAAGTTATATTTCTTCTTTGGCTATATTGAATTGTTTCAGTCTGTTGGTATTATGTTAAAAAGCGTTGGATATAACTGTTAAATTCTATGTCCGAATATTGATGTGTGATATCAATGTAATTTTTTAGACAATCGATAAACTGTTGAAGACAATTAATTCGAATAATTTTGTTTCAAATAAACAGTCACTGCTCCCACCAAGTGTTTCAATTGCAGTTAAATTTACGATTTAATTATTTATTTATGTGCTTTACATTTTATTCAGATCTATCTTCGCATAAAATATAAAACATCTTACGATATTTATTCTTTGTTAACTTTACCTTGGTGCTCTTGTGTACGTATTAATTAAATAATGTAAATACGTGATAACGAAATTAATGAGAATACTGAAATAAATTGATGTAATAGAAATGTGTAATTGTGTTTAAAAAGGTATACATATACTTTGCAGGGGATAATAAAGCAGAAAAATGCAACGTAACTAAAATCATTTTAGTTAGCGGTAAACATTATTACGCACTTGACAACTATCGAGAAACTTCTGGCAACAAGAATGCAGCTATTATTAGAGTAGAAAATTTATGTCCATTTCCTGTCCACGAGTTACTAGAAGAGATTACGAAATACGAGCATGCGAAAAGTAAGTGGAGAAATGTAATTAGTTGACACGAGCAAATTACATAAAAAGATGATACTGTTACGTATCGAAAACATGAGCCGTTTCCGAACAATGTTTCACATTGTGTTTTCAGCCTTTATTTGGAGTCAAGAAGAACCACGAAATATGGGCGCATGGAGTTTCATTAAACCACGTTTTGAGAACTTGTGTGGGCGGCAAGTGAGTTGTATTAAATTAATTGCGAGAAATTAATGTATAGATGAATACATATATATATGAATTATTAAATGTATATAGTTTTCATATCAGAAGTCAGATACTAAATAATTAGAGCTAGCAATACTTTCTAACTAACGTTCTAATATTAAGATTTGTTAGTGTTCAATTTTTTGCTTATAAAAACAATAAGGTAAATGTATATACATATGAGTTTTATGATTTATTCTTTCACGATATAATTTTCAGTTGAAATATTGCGGTCGAGAACCGATGGCAGCACCAGCTGTTGGAGATGGAAAAATGCATCAACGAGAAGCTAACGAAGTTATAGTTAAACCATTTACATTGAAATAAAATTTAGAAGATTCTACTTTAATAAATTCATCGCGTACATCTCCTAAATATACACTCAATAAAAGTGGTCTTAAATGATTTCATTAATAAAGGAAGTGTTATGGAAATACAGATTATAGACATCATTTATTTGGCGATATACATTTCAGACTCTAAATTAAGCATATAGAGTATCGAAAAGAATAAAGCGCTCTTCTTATTTATAATACAATTTTAAATATGAATTTTACTTAAATTTTATTTTTACACTTGGTCTTTGTATATGATACAAAAATCAAATAATAAATGACTAACAAGAATACAGGCAACAGTAAAATATCTAATTCTGCACAGTAACGTTTAATTTTGTATGAGAAGCAATTAGATAAATTGACGCGAATATTTACCTTCTTAAATTAATCACATTGTACATTTACCTTAGCTCCAACAATGTTTGTATCACCTATTTTAAGTAAAATTGTATCCTTGTAACATTTGTTTTCAAATGACGTGAATTGTCAATAACTCGATATTCTATTTATTCTTTCTAGAGGAAAGCATTATTAATTATCGTTATCCAGTTAACATCAATTAATTGTCGCTTTTCTTTTCTTCTGCTTTCAACTTTTCATGTTCTCTTTTCATCAGGGCTTGCAATTCATCCTAAAATTATAAGTTGCATCTTAGTCCTTGCTAGGCATAAAAATTTTATATTTTACTTTAATATTTATTGAACATGCGGTTACTAATTTACACCCTGAAATGTGCATCAAGCATAGGAATAGAAATGTGATTTACCCCCCAGCCAAGTTTGTCTGCTAGTAGTTGACAACCTGTGTCGCAATCACCCAACCAAGCTACATCACGTCCTCCGTGTGTGCTCTTGTTATCAAATACCAAGCCCTGCCGTAAACCTAAGAAACGTGACAGACGGTCCTGCATACCCACTTTTTCATTGTTAATGAGTAAACGAGGACAACTGGCTCGCACTCTTAAAATAAAATTATATTCAGAATTACATATACTGTATATTTCTGTTCTAATAATTTTTGCAGAACCATTTTTAATGCTTGTATATATATACCTGTCCACTATCGATGCGAAAGGTTGTACTACTAAACTTGATCCCATGATAATCAAAAGCTCAGCCTGTTCCAAATCTTGATCAGCAAGTGTTTGGAAACGCTCGGATAGCATTTCACCAAAGAAGACTATATCAGGTTTCACCAAACCATCGTCGCACTTTTCGCATGACGGTATTTCGCCTTTCATTATCTTTTCTATCATTTATAAAATCAAATATAATAGTATATGATATATAATTAGTATTTGATCAATTAATCACTAACATCTTACTTTTTACAAAATTATCCATGCTTTTTACTTTATAAAATTCATATTTAAAGACTCAGTTTATTGTATTTAATTTTACTAATATATTTAACGCTTGCTTTTTATTTGTTAATAACTTAATAAATGAAGGGCGATTTAAACTGTTTAAAAATTAACCAGGATAACTCTGATAGTCTTCTGACAATAATAAGTCAAGGCCGTAGTTACAGTCCCTGCCTTCCTAAGTTTCAACTGTAATATGTAGTTAATAGCGTTTAATTTGTACACTAAAATTTACTAATTTTAGTGTAATTTTTAATAATAATTAGATAATACACACGATAGACTCTTATATTACATTATTCTTATTCATTCGCTTCAAGTAAATCGATCGCAAAGAAATGGAGACATAAAAGTGTACCTTTCATCCATGGAAGTGTGTACGATGCTTGGCACGTAAGACAATGGCCGCTGTAGAACGTTCCATGAGCTTCCACCAGTTTCTCACCTGGTAATCCAGCTACGCGTTCCAGCGTATCAATATTCTGCGTGTAGTGTCGTAACAACAAACCCTTTTCCCACAGTAGTCGAATGAAGTAATGGCTTATCGTCGGCTGGAAGCCTTCCGGTATCAATTCCCTCGCGAGGGTGAAGAACGGTTCTGGGTTCTTTATGAAGAAGTCTAACTCAAAAATAGCCTGTGGATGGGGCAAATTATACTTGTCCAACTTGTGGTAAAGCCCACTGGATGGGGACCGAAAATCTGGTATGCCAGCAGCTGTAGAAAAGAAAAAGATACGTGAGTACGTTTGTGACATTAACAATCTGCGTGTAAGCACTGCTATATACAGTGCGCAAACAAAATTAACGCAACAAAAATTTGTACCAAAATTTCACTCAACTTCAAATAATCGTAACTTCGCGAAAACTTATCGCATTTGAAAAATGTTCTTCTTTTATTTTAAAGCTAGAAATCTCTACTTTACAGAGAATCTTTCAGACTTTGAATATCTCTGCTCCCCTTATCGTGATCTCTTTAAAAGCAAGGACGTGTCTTGTCCGCAAAACTTTTCATAGTTCGACGCGCCTCACGGGGTGCGATGAATCTTTTTCGCAAATTCTATCATACAAGAACCCTTGTGAAATATGAACTTGTTTTCAAATACGACAAGCTTTCGCGAAGTCACGATTGTCTGAAGTTGAACTTCGGTACAAATTTTTCTTGCGCAGTGCATTTTATGCCTTTCGAGGCAAAGTACGAAAACTAATAACAGTTACGACTCTCAGCGAGATAAGAACGATGATGTATATAATTTCTAAAGCAGCCAAGAGACAAGTAAAACATGTAGAGGACGTTATAAAACAATTTGTTATAACTTATCTATCAGAGGAGAATATGCGAGGGGGAAATCGCTGACTCAAATCTTGTACACCAATGCCCACTAATTATTTTATCTTCTCTTATTTCATCATATTTTATCTCTCTAATGCCTCAGCAAGGCCTAATGCCCAAACTAATGCTCAAAAAATGCCCAGTAATGCCAAGTAACGCCGCAAATCTGTACACCACAATGCCCTCAGTGATTTCCCCCTCGAGAACAAGTATACAGATGTAGGTATACAGAATATACCCAGAGGACACGCGTGTCCAAGGCATCTTTAAGACGTCTATTAGACGTCTTATGTCTCAAAGACGTCTAATAGACGTCTTAAAGGTGTCTTTTAGACGCGCACGTTCTCTGGGTACCTTCGACATATTATGCTTACAGGTGGAGATCCCCGCGCCTGCCATGGTGACGATTTTGCAATTTGCGTTATTCGTTATGTACTCGGCAATTCCGTCCAAAGTGAGGCTGCTAAGGGCCGGCAGCTCCTCGCCTTGGTCGCTCGGCGAGTCGACGAGCTTCAACTTCTGCGCCAGGTATTTGCGCAGTCTCTCCATCTCGGTATGATCTTCTTCCTCCGACGATTCAGACGCGACGTTTTGCTTCTTCTCATTCACATTATCGTCTGAAACAAGGTGCGAGAGCTTATGCCACCGAGTAGTACGCACGTTATTCTAACGAGGGGGGAAAAAAAAATAAATAGCGCACAGCGTCCAAGCTGTACGCGGCGTAATTTGATCACGAACGTCCTGACCATCGTGACCTAATGCATTATTATTGATATTAAAAGCGGCTCGAGGTCATTTGCATCGGTTTGCATACAAACGCGCGGAGCACGCGCACACGCGCACAACACCGAAGGGGGAAACATAAGGAATGTTTTGCAACAGAGAAAAGAAAAATATATACAGCATTTACATGGTGTAGCCACGCATTACTCCGTGCGCTACCAATTCCGTGATCCACTCGTGATTCGAGGAAGAGAAAACCCGATCGCAGGGAGAATTCCGCGCGCCCGCTGATGCCTTCTGAAAAATTACCTCTTCCGTTCTCCTTCGTCTCCTTGTCCATACTGTAACTCGATGCGATAACACGATTAACATTCAGTTTTGCGAGATGCGACTTGCATATAGATATCGGCGATATATTCACTTCACGGAGGATGACGCGCGTGTCGATGGGAAGCCTATGCGATAAACCAAAAGCTAGACGCGACGCCAGGATTGCTCTCCTTCTCTCTCTATATATATATATATGTCGTCGAGCGATACGTACGTAAAATACTTTTACGACCCCCTCATTATTTTTCCGCACACATTCCGCAAGTAGGTGGCGATTTATCGAGCGCAGTGTACGTCACATACACACGCGCACGGCACCACACTCATCGCGTTTCGGACGCGCCGTTTTGCGTAGCTTTGACGCGCTCAGCTGTGCGTGTCAACAGCGGCCATCAATGGCCCTCAGTGTCGCCCCCGTCGTCTCTCCGGTCGCGCAGCTCCCAAACTCCCAAGACTCTCCCGTCCCTGTCCCGAAAGTCCCTAGGGGAAATCCCCTGAATTTTCCCCTAGCGATTTGAAGCGCGCCGGACTCGAAGAGGTTAGGTTGCACGGTAACGAGAAGAAACCGGTTTTATCGCGGCGTGGGTGTTTTGCTGTAAAGTACAATGAAACTTTCGTGAAACGCGCCTGAGAAGCTCCGTCGATCGACACCCCGTTTCGTTATCCTCTCGTTGCTGTTTCGGCGAAAATTCAGTGCGACGTTTTTCATTGAAAAGTAAGAATTTCTAGTTACACTGAGTTAAGATCATTTTGTTACCTTTCAACAATGTGTACTTTTAACTTCTTGCATCTTGCATGGAATTTCAGGAAAGAAAAATTATGACTTATTTAAAAAGACGTTCGATAATCTTTCAATAGCTCCTCTCGCTTTCCGTGATACTTTCAGCAGGATATCTCCACGAGTGCGCGCGAATGTAAATAAGTATACTCTTCAAATAAATTGATAAACGTATAAGATGAACGTGGTTTAACAGGCCAATAAATTAATAAATACTCGAGCATCACTGAAGATTAAAATCTTTGGTTCCTACACTTTTTACCTAATTAATTAGTGCTGCGCTATATCTAGGCCTAGCTTTTAATTCATACATAAATTATATTCGAATTTGTATTAATATTAAACTAGGCTCTATCGACTATGTCATCTTATGAGTTTAACATTTTGCAAGCTTCTTGACTAGTCACATTAAATTGTACTGTATTTCGTTGCAGATGGTGTCGAACCAGACGCTCATGAAAATAGCGACTTTGGGGGGATTTGTAATAGGAGTCACGGGTTACGCGTTTCATTTTCGCATACAGTATGACATTAAAGAAACCGAGGCCTATAAGGACGTCGTGAGTACTGTACTTGCGCATAAGAAGGTCGTGCCGTATCTCGGGGAGCCCGTGACGATGGGCCGCATCACTTACGGCAACGGAAGCCACAAGTTCGAAAACGGAACGGTCACGCAAAATTACAAGTGGTTTCAGTTCCCGCTCACGGGCGCTAATACAAAGGCGAAGTTGTATTACGAGGTGACGTTGAACCGTGAGCTCAACAACACGCCTGAGGCGTCTAGAATCGAAATTACATTCGATAATATGCCTGGGAAGACGTTTGTGATAAGGCACTACGAGCTAGAGCGAAACGGCGAGTTTGCACCGGGAGAAAAGTAGATTTTACGTTTAAGAATCTGACGCGGACAGATATTTATTTATTTGTATATTGTGTATAAAACTAGTGGTGCCGTAAAGACAAATAAAAATGGAAAGTGATACGAGAATAAAAGGTACACGTAACGAATGTTAGCGGAACGTTTGTAAAGGCATGTCGGTGATGCCCTTAGGTAATCGCAAACCGCGTCTTGTGTAGCCCAGAGCCGCTTGGATAATGTGTATGGCCGCTTGTACGGTCAGCTTCACGTCTCGCTCGCTACCGATTTGTGGATTGACCTCCACCAGGTCGATTGCGCTCAATCTGTTTGTTCTGTATATCTCCTCCATAAGATGAATCGCTTCTCTGAGAGACAGCCCTCCGCGCACTGTACAAATATGTAAATATAAAGACTTGCAGTAAGAACAACGCGCGTGTACATACACCGATATGACGTGTCGCAAACCTGGCGTTCCGGTGCTGGGCGCTTCGAGCGGATCTAGCACGTCTATGTCGAAGCTGACGTGCAGAGACTTCGTGTTATGGGGATCTATTTTATTAAGCACCATGTGTATCACGTCGTGAATACCTGAAAATATATCGGTATGTTAAACGCATTGGACATTTTACGCGACGATCAAAGCACATATTATATCCCGAACCATAACGTTCTATATCTTCCATGCCGTAAGCGATGATGCCAAATTTTTCGATCACCAATCTCTCATAGCGATCTATGGATCTCAAACCAATATAAGCTACGTTTCGGATGGATAGTCTGTAAAAGAAAAAGTAATATACTGGTCAGACTCACTTTTTGTTTATTTCAATTCGTTAGATTCGCTTGAAAAATGAATTGGCACAAATATTCGAATGATTGTGATATTCTTACATCGGCAATTGCCAGTCCATGCCCGGCAAATACGGCCAATAATCGGCTAGCTCCGAAGTTAACAATGCTACCGGCATCCCGTGCACGTTGCCGCTTGCGCTTGTTTTGTTAGTATTTAAATCCGCGTGGGCATCCACCCATATAACTGCCACATCTTTCTTTTCCTACGAAAAGAAAGCGTGTAAGTTTCGGATTTAATGAATCGTCGATTTTTCTTGTCTACGAAAGTATTTCCACTTTGTACCTTGACATGTCCGTCGATTGAACCGATGCCCAAGCTGTGATCGCCACCGATCGTTAGTGCTTGCCTGCCGTCGCGTAACACTTGTCGAATTTGTTCAGATAAACTGTTCATACAACTAGCCACGTGGCTCAGATGTGACATATTTTTTACGTCATTCATATTGCTTGCATTGTAAACCACGTCACCGTAGTCTCGCACATCCAATTCTTTTTTTTACGGAGTAAATAGAAATTGCATTAACTTGCACAAGCGTAATATATTTATATTTATAAAAAAAAGAAAAGTATGCCGCTGCATAGATTTACCTAACGTTTTCAATTCGTCTACCAATCTTGCTGCTCTGATCACCTCGGGTCCACGAGCTACTCCTTCCTTTTCCTGTAAAATTCATTGTTTTTAACATACATTTAATACTCTTGTTTACCATTTCTGTAAATCTTTATTTCAGACATGTTCAGTATCGGATATCGAAATGATTTGTTATTCGCATATTTTGTATATATTCACCTGTCCTTTGTCAAAAGGTACTCCGATTATACCAACTTTTCCATTGTAATAGCGAATGCCTAGTTTAGTGGAAATTGTACGAGCTTTAGTCAGCATGTTCATCGTGAACTTTATATCCTTTTCTTATTCCAGAGTTACTTGCGAGCACACATATAAAGAAATAATCTGTTCTTTGACCTGTAACTGTCTGATAAGGAAATCTTATTGACGCTATGAACAAAGTAAAAAGACCACCAAACATAAGTAGTAGATGTGTGTGTTTGTGCGTGTATACAGTAGTATGACTCAGAAAAATTTGAAGATTTTATAGGACATTTTGTTCAGAACTAAATTTCCTATAAAATCTTCAAATTTTTCTGAGTCATACTACTGTATGTATACACGCACACACACACACACACACACACACACACACACACACAATTTCGTTCTGAACAAAATTTCCTATAAACACGGATCCAAAAATGCTTCCTTAAGTTAGCGCCTGAAAAACTTCAAATTCTCGTTAATACATTTTTGCACAAAATATTTAAGTATGCCTTTTTTTAACAAAGTCTCGAAAAAAGTATCAAAGATTGTTGGGAATTAAATTTCCTACAAGATCTTGAAGTCTGGCTGAAACCATCGGCCCTGCATATACATCTGTATATACTGTATATACTTTGTATATACACATTTGTTTGTACATATGAATTAATAATATAATTAAATGCATGCAGAAACAGAATAATTCACAAAATCGGAAATTCTATGACTGTTTCTTACTTCCGCGAAGAATCATTTTTCTCCACTTGAGTGGAGACTGTGGATTAATCCGTTTTTGTATGCATACATTCATTTTCCCGTTCAAGCGTCTCCAACCAGATATAAAAGAGCAAAAGGAGAATCTTCTAAAGAAAAACTAACCCAATGGAGTGAATTTTAGAATATAGGAGAAAAGAGAAACTCCACGAAATACGCAACAACATAAATATATTCTTCGTATATATTTTCTATTAAGTACTTTTTTAACATATTATTTCGGCCCAAGCATTTGTTCGGGTCTAACCCATTGATCGAATTGTTCCGCCGTAATTCCATTTTTCAACGCAGACTCCTTTAGCGTGATCTTTTCTTTGTGCGCGTACTTTGCGATCATAGCAGCCTGCAAAAGCCAATTATAAAGACAACTCCTTACAGTAAAAAGTTTTATATATATATCTATAAAAAAAACTTTTGCTTCCATACCTATTCTAAAGAAACATGAATTTATAAATACCTTATCGTAACCGATATGTGGATTCAATGCTGTGACAAGCATCAAACTTTCATTCAAATTGCTCTTTATCTTATCGAGATTCGGTACAATGCCTACGACACAATTTTTGGTGAACGAGGCGCAGCCATCGCCCAACAATCTCGCAGATCTCAAGGTGTTCGCAACCATAATTGGTTTAAAGACATTAAGCTCGAAGTGGCCATTACTACCACTGACAGTTATCGCCACGTGATTACCCATTACTTGACTGCACACCATGGTCAACGATTCGGTCTGTGTGGGATTTACTTTCCCTGGCATGATAGAACTACCGGGCTCATTTTCCGGAAGAGACAATTCTCCCAAACCGCATCTGGGCCCACTTCCAAGGAATCTAATGTCATTTGCAATCTACGCAAATTACAAAATATATCGATAGGACACAGAGCAGAATATTAATGCATTTTTTAACAGTTACATATATCGGTACTGACTTTCATTAGAGAAACGGCCAATGTATTAAAAGCGCCGTGTACTTCGACAATCGCATCGTGCGCGGCCAGAGCTTCAAATTTATTTGGAGCGGGGACAAACGGCAGGCCAGTGAGCTGAGCAATTTTCGCAACTGCCTTTTCCGAAAATCCCTTTCGCGTATTTAAACCGGTCCCGACCGCCGTGCCACCAAGAGCCAATTGATACAATCTTGGAAGCGTATCTTTCACTCTCTTAATACCGTATTCGACCTGCGTAGCGTATCCTGCGAAATATTTTTACGTACATACATCTTACGGGCTATCCCTGAAATAGTTTGCGTACGGATATAAACCTGAAAACTCTTGACCCAATGTCAATGGTACCGCGTCCTGGGTGTGTGTTCTACCAATTTTTATGATATCTTTCCACGCGTCCGCTTTTTCCTTCAATGCTTTATGTAGCACTTCCAAGCCCGGAAGCAGTACTTTATGGATCTCCAAGGCGACAGCTATGTGCATAGCCGTTGGAAATGTGTCGTTGCTACTCTGCGACATGTTAACGTGATCGTTCGGGTGCACAGGTTTCTTCGAGCCGAGCTCACCACCGAGTATCTCGATTGCACGATTGGCGATGACCTATTTGAAACATATTCTGTTAAATGAAATAATTATTGACTAAAGGAGAGCTTGCTTAGTCAACCCAACCGGCTAGTTATTTAATTAATTCATTACGCCGAAACGTTGTGTAATAAACTAATTAAATAACTAGCCAGTTGGGTTGACTACAAGTTTCCCGTCTCAAGAAATAATTATTCATAAGACTATCGTCCTTATTTCGTCGGATAATCATAGTTTAGCATGCCGTTGACATTATAATACAACATTCGACCTCATTGACGTTCATGTTAGTTTGCGTGCCAGATCCAGTTTGCCAGATAATCAAGGGGAAATGATCGTTATATAACTTTCCGCTTATTACGTCATCCGCTGCCTTGCTAATGGCATCGGCAACTTTAGGGTCCAAATTGTACTCTTTGTTCACTTCCGCAGCAGCTTTCTTCAATATGCCCATAGCCATTATCTGCCTGCACTATAAAAATAATCATTGGTTACTTTTAAACGCAAGAAGAGATGGAAAGACGCAACAATATAACTTATTGTTCTCTTTCATATATTGCTTCTACTTACGGGCATACGTTCGAACGTATCGCCGATTGGAAAGTTCATCACTGCCCGAAGGGTTTGCGCGCCATAATATTTGTCTGAGGGGACCTTCAATTCTCCGAACGTGTCTCTCTCGACTCTGTAGCTTTTCGATTCTTGCTCCTGTACATAGAAAGCACGTAGTTACAATTGTGCTGATAACATATACAATAATGTATTGAATTTTATGATTCCGTATGTATATTATGTGGGTGTATGTTTTTATTAGAGGATAAAGCATCAATTACTACCGTCTTTAATGTATTTAAAACCGAGTAGAGTAGAAAAGTTTATCCGACAAAAGTTGCATCGCAAAAGACGTCGCGTTTGCTTCCTGAATCATTTCTGAAATCTGAACATTACTTTCATTTTCTTTCAATACGCACCATGCAGATTTCCTTACACAAATCAATTTAAATATCATGCATATAAAAGTTTGACAATAAAATTGCAAGAGACAAGCGGTTTATGAAATAGTTTACATTTTATTTTGGCAAAACACCTTTCGGTGCAATTCATTATGTACATATATTTATTCCATGTATGAAATTGCTGAAACCAACCGCAAAAGAAATTAATATAAAAAAGAATCTATCATATAAAATATTTAAATTCTCGATATTGTTAATTTTATGATAATGTCACTTTCATATATTTATATGCGGAGCACCGAAGGGGAAAATCGTACCCATACAAAATTAGAAGAGGCAGATTTGACCTTCAGCTCTCGAAAATGACTCCGCCTGAAAGGCAAATACCAGCCATATGGCGATTCTTTGCATTACAACGCAACGTTCGTCAGACGGATTTTCTATTTTTACAGTTATCAGAGGTATTAAAGACGGTGGCGATACACTTTTATCGCGGCGCATTTGTATCACACAAATAAATCTATGCTACAGATGTGGAGGGCGTAGCTTGAAAGCTGTTCACCATGGCCAGGCTTATGTAAGCAGTCGGTACCACGTTGGCAGAAAGACTGAAAGCCAGTGGAATGCAGAAGTCTGTAGTCTTCGCATACATGATAAACATGATAAGCAAGTTTTACCAGTATCCGGGTAAGACGTGCTGACCGATACAGTCGTAAAAAGTTACTCTTAATATTCACAACTTCTGTTCCATACCTGACAGCATGTTTACACTCGCAATAATGTCGCGACAGCTCGTTTATGTAAAAAAAAAAAATTATTTCTTGTAAAAAAAGGACTAATACAATCTCTATCGCGAGTCTTTAATAAAAGCAACGAGACAAGACGCCAGCGTGAGTGACATGAAGAATATTAGTTGCGTTAATTCAATCAATGTTACATAAAAGATATTTGTATGTGCGTATATATAACAAGATTAAAAATACTTTTGTTAAGGTGTGCATGGTTCGTGTACCTTGTTAATCATAGTTGACGTGGATAAATATAACTTAAATGACGAATAGGCCGACAATTTTTTCAATTGACGCAAGCCCTGATTGGGGAGATGGCACCTCATTACGTTAAACATTATTGTTTTGAAAATTTTGACAATCTGGGTTCTATTTAACGAATATTTAAGCGAAGACGAGAACAACAACAGTCGGCGCTGGTCGGCGCAAGCCGTCAACTTCAGCCTCCTACACATGCATCCTACTGATCCTAAAGCCCGTGTCCCACTACGTATTGCGGACGCGGATTAGATTGAAATTTGACCAATCAGAGTAAAAGTTACTGAACTTAAGATTAGTAAACTTTACTGTGATTGGTTAAATTTCAATCCAATCCGCGTCCGCAATACGTAGTGGGACACGGGCTTTAAGCCTCCGCTACAATGGCTGCGTTCAGCACACAGACTTCTATATAATACTAGACTGCTAACTGCTTATGTACAAGGCGGCTGACTTTCTATGTATTAAGCGATTATATGTAGTCATTCATTCTGCGCATGCGCTTTAACGCAATATAGGTTACGTTCATCTTAGGGCCAGTTTCACAAACGTCGGTTAACTGCTAACGGGAGGTTAATCGGTTCT